AGAATTCCCCAGCCAGCGTCGCGACGCTGGCTGGGGGATTCTGGGAGTTGAAGGCCACAAGTCTTAAGGTTCCCAAGGTTGGACAGGATATCTGTAACTCCCTGTTCTGACCTAGGATTCCTGAAACAGTAAGAAAATCACACGCTTAGTCCCAAAAGTCCTTTTTTTCATTTCAATGGCTGTGAATTATATTCATTCATAGCCCGTAATGAGTCACAACCAGTCTGCGAAGAGTCCGACAGAAATCTGCCAAAGTCTTTCAGGGTAAGGCTGATAAGCACCCACCTTCATCTCCCTTGAAACGCTGCCAGGGACCTACTTGCCAATTAGTTTTGCAAGGCCAAATGGAGCACAGAGTCAAAACGAAGCTTCAGAGTTTAAACCGACCAGAACGAACCAAGTTGCTTCCTGCAAAAGCTCTTTTATGTCTTACGAAAGGGGGCCAATCTTCTCCAAGCCTTACTCCCAAGTTGCCCCCTTTTGTCTTAACTGTTCTTGCCTTCTGGCAGCTCTGTGCATGCATGCGCTGGGAACAGGCTCCCATTGCTCTTCTGCTTCATTGATGTAAGACTCCAGAGGCAGCACATAACTCCCAGATGATCCAGAGCCCTTGTCCGAGCCTTCCCCAGACTCCAGGACCGGCCCATGTTCCTCCCCACCCTCCTCGCTGTACGACTCGGTGGCCAGCTTCGCAGGCTGCCGGCCGACCGTTACTCTTTCTTTTTATACCTTCACCAGATTCCTAATTCCGATCCAAGATGATTTCAATCCTTGCAATATTGTTAAGGGAAATGCTCTTCAAGATCTCATTTTGCAGTCCTATTTCTTAATCCACCCCCTCCACCCTTCGCCTAAGGTCATATTCCTTTTTATTCCTCTCTTTATTTAGACAAGACGTCTACATTTCAAAGGAAATCTCCGTTTTTCAAATAGCCTTCCATTCGGTCATATTTTCTTCCTGACCTGTGGTACACATTCTCCTTGGAGTTTCTGCCATTGTGCAATTGAGTAAACTCTGACATTTCGGAGTAGTCTGGCCCCTGTTGCATTCCTCTTCGGTTTCCTTATCACCAAAGCTCTTGTTTTGAACAGGTTTCCTTGTTTGAAGTCTAAAGTGACTCGACGACGTGTTGTTTTTTTGGGAGGGGGGGGTGTATTTCTTTTTTTGTAAACCCATCACCGGGTGTCATTTCAATGACTCCGGCTTTTTCCACTGCATCGAAAGCCCCGGTTCGAGATTAAATCCAGAAGCACCTTTGAAGGTTCAACTCTTCTAGGAAAATCGCTTAGATTGTGGCTCTTCCGTTAAGGTCATCTCCTCTACTCTCTACCTACAAGCTTCTTGTGGGTCACAAAAATTAGCAGGAGTCGGCTACCACCTTTTCCAATTAACATATTTTATTTTTTTTAGACCAAAAAATGGACAAAACTGAGCTACAGTTCAGTTCCTCAGAAGCATTCAGGGTTCATTGCAGCTCTGAACTGATGAATAGATGGGTGGGTGAATGGATGGATGGATGAATAGGTGGGTGGCTAGATTGGTGGGTGAGTGGATGGATGGATGGATGAATAGGTGGATGGCTAGATTGGTGGGTGAGTGGATGGATGAATATGGGACTATGTAAAAAACGGGGTCTCTCAGGCTGGAACAGGGAGACTCAGGAGAGCCAGACGGAGGTGGAGCAATTAAGATTTCTACAGGAAGTCCGGAGGCTTTATTCTTTCTCTATATTTGTTCTTTAAAGAATAAAGCTAACTTTGTTAATTGTGCTGCTTGTCTCTTCACGGGGAAGACCTCGTGACACAAAACTCCAGAGAATGTCTTGCCATTGCCATAAATGGCTGCTCAACCTTTTCTTCTTCTTCTTCTTTTTTTTGACTTAGCGATGAGCAGATAAGCAGGGTAGGAAACTTTGGGAAGAAAGAAAGTTTCCTTTTGTGGGGAAGAATTAAGGTGGGAGTGAAACCCTTTAGAGCGATCTAAGACATGATTGTTTAAAAAGAAAGGAATGCAGATCCTTGTCCTTGTAGAATATTTCTCCTTCCTTTCTTCCCTCCTTTCCTCCTTCTTTTCTTCCTTCCTATCTCCTTCCTTCCCTCCTTCCTTCCCTCCCTCCTTCCTTCCTATCCCTTCCTTCCTTCCTTCCTATCTCCTTCCTTCCCGCCCTCCTTCCCTCCCTCCTTCCTTCCTATCTCCTTCCTTCCTTCCTTCCTTCCTATCACCTTCCTTCCTGCCCTCCTTCCCTCCCTCCTTCCTTCCTATCTCCTTCCTTCCTTCCTTCCTTCCTCTGTTTCTTCTCTTTCTACTGTGAATGCTGTTTGCATGGCCTCTGGAAGACCCCCCGCGCTCAGTTTTCTGCCTCACAACCAGCTTAGACCTGGAGAACTTAGGACAAAGTCTCCTTGCATCAAGCTCAACCTTAGGGGTTAGTTCACCTGGAGTTTTTGGAGTAACACAGCAGTGCTTTATGGCAGGGCTCTCCAAACTTGGCAACTTTAAGACTTGTGGACTTCAACTCCCAGAATTGGTGGGGTAGCTGGGGGAATTATGGGAGTTGAACTCCACAAGTCTTAAAGTTGCCAAGTTTGGAGAGCCCTGCCATAAAGCACTGCTGTGTTACTCCAAAAACTCCAGGTGAACTAACCCCTAAGGTTGAGCTTGATGCAAGGAGACTTTGCCCTAAATTCTCCAGGTCTAAGCTGGGTTGTGAGACAGAAAACTGAGCGCGGGGGTCTTCCAGAGGCCATGCAAACAGCATTCACAGTAGAAAGAGAAGAAACAGAGGAAGGAAGGAAGGAAGGAAGGAGATAGGAAGGAAGGAGGGAGGGAAGGAGGGCAGGAAGGAAGGTGATAGGAAGGAAGGAAGGAAGGAAGGAGATAGGAAGGAAGGAGGGAGGGAAGGAGGGCAGGAAGGAAGGTGATAGGAAGGAAGGAAGGAAGGAAGGAGATAGGAAGGA